TACTAACTTGTAATTTTCCCTTGTTTCAAATGAAAACTCTCATCGTGGTTACATCAGTTTTTACCACTTTTATTTGTTAAAAAGAGGGACGCCACCATAAAGCAAGTTTATAGCCCACAAACCACATTTTTACAAGATTTTTTAATTGCCTGAGGCTGTTTTTGTTTGTTGTTGTACAAACTTGTAAATTGTTTAATTTTGATAACTAATGTGGGTTGGTATTAGTTTTTTACCCAGTTAAGCAACACTTTATTTCTCTCCTAATAATAAGTGTTATTGCCTGGGGCTATTTGTTTGTTTGTTTACCTGTAAACAAAATTGTTTACGGAAGAATAAAAATGTTCTTGCACGACCCTGTCAGGATTCAATCTTTGTGCAAACGTTTCAATCTTCATATCTACCCGGTTTTGAGATACGCTTGTCTAAGACTGAACAACAACAACAGCATAGAAGAAGAAGAAAATTGAAAATTATGCGATTATGCGATTTAAGCAATTTCTTGGTACATGCCTCTTTGTGACAATACAAATTAGTCCTGATGTGTCAAAAGTTGGAATAAGGTCAAAACTCACCTGTCTAGTGTCCGCTCGCCATCCCCTCACTTGTCCAGCAGAGAAGGGGAGAGCTGACCATCCTCCGGCCTGGAAGAGATAATAGTTCCACATTGACATCCCATCCCAAATGTGTGTGAGCAGTGTATCAAATAGAGTGTATAACAGGCAAACTCACATTCTCCTGAATGTCAAGGTCGACATGCTTTCCTTCCAGTAGAATTTTTGTCATGGAACTCCCATCATGGCGGCATATATTAGAGGGGTGAGGCCCTCCTGTAATGGAGGGTCAACAGTTAGTGGCAGCTCCTGAGGTGTTTTGTATGTGGATCATGTCAGTTTTTTGTACGCGGATCACGTGAGATTTGACACGTGCCATCCCTATATAGAGCATCTACCGATGCTATAATAACCTGCATGATAGTCATGTGTGTTTGCTCTCCTCCCTTCATAACACTCTTTGATATGCACCTGAAGGTACAGCTACTGAGTGTTGGGTCACAATCAATCTGATAGGCTTAAAGTTCTGTATAGCCATACACCAGATGTGAACCTTGCCCATTACTGTATATATAAGTTGTATGGTTGGAAGCGGTGTAAGAGTACTAATCAACAACAGACCAAACATTAGCTACACACCTACAGTTCCCACCTCACAATTATTTTATTTAGGTGCATAATTAAGCAGCAAGAGCTTGTCTTATCATTCCAGTTTCTCATCCCATAGTATCTGTGTCACTTTAGTGATTTGGAGTATTATTGCGTACACATCTGATGTGTAACAAAAATAGCCTATTCAATAACATGTTCCGCAAATGTTTCACACACTGTTATATTTTGTGCTTAGATTATAGAGGACGTCTAATTTCACGTATGTAGCATTCATTCCCTCTTGTATTCCCATAAAAACTGTAACTGCACCTGGTTCTGGAGGTTGAGGTTGCTCCCAGCCCTCATCAGCTCCCTCAGAACATCTGACTTTCGTTGCCTTACAGCATAGAAGACTGCAGAGTCCCCTCTCTGTGGGGAGAGTAAAATTGAAGGACACGGATTGCTTCAGAATACAGTGGATCCTTCGAGAAGCGGAGAGCCTCCAAGAAGAAGGCAAAGACTGAGACTGCCGTAGAAACTTTGGTATATAACGGATCTGTGTAAATTGAACCGACATTCCAATGACGCCTTGTGCAAGCATAAGACAAAAAACCGGACCTATCAACGCAGTCTTTGTGCACTCTTTATACCCACCTTGTGCAAGGCAGTTCATGATTCAGACATTTGTTTCCACTCTTAAGAGCAAAATCGGCAATCCTTCGAGATAGGGACAACTTCTCTACAAGGGACAAAATCGATGTGCCCAATGGTGTGTCCTTCGTTCAGAGGTTCCATTGTACTACAGAGAGTCCGAGAGGTAAGAATGACAGATGTAGTTGTTACCCCATCCTGAAGGTCCAAACTGGCTCCTTCTTGCACCAGCTCCTTAATGGCATCGACACCTACACGAGTTGCGTGCCTCAGTGGTGACTGGTTGACAAAAAAAAGGCTAGTAATGGCAATCACCTCGAAACCGTATGTCCTAACCCTCACAAACATAAAACATGCACATTATACTTATGTTCAAGTTGCTTTATGTACATACTAACAAAAGTGGCTTCGCAAGTGCATTCACATTTTTTCAAAAATGTTGGCTTATAGGCGCTGCTATAGGTGTGTGTGATCCTAATGCACCCATGTAACCTCACAACATAATTGGTGAGCAAAGCGAGCCTACCTACTTGGGCCAACGGTCCGCTTTTCCCTTTCTTTCTTTCTATCAGGCAATGCCACACATACCGTAATCTTCTACGTAATTCTAAATACGCGCAAAACACGCACGAAATATTCAACTGCTCGTGCTTGCTCGTCAACAATGTATCGCATCCCACTAGTAGTACAATGCGTAATGCTTAGTCAATGTACAAGCTCATGGTTATTGTACTTATCAAAAAAAACTGGGTGTAGGCCCTGGACGTGGTTGATCCTATTACACCAAACCGCATGCATAAATTGTCTCTCACCCCATTCCACTGGTTTAGATCAGCTCCTCTTGAAATCAGGAGACGAACCACTTGGATTTTATCTTTCATAATGGCAAAGAGCAGAGAAGTGGTTGAACTCTATAGGGACAGACACCATCATAACACTCAATATGGATTAGACGACCATAAGTATTTTGCATGGATATTTGTGCATGCACAGGTTTTATTTGATATATAGAGATAAACCATGCATATAAGACACTAGGTACACATTAAAAGGGCTCACTTTGTTCGGTAAAATTCTACAGGATGGTGGGAAAAGCCCCAAACTAGACACAAATCATTGATGCAGAAGCATGTTCTTCTAGTGATATTTCCATTTTAGCATGGAGCAATAGCTTGTGCTGGTAGCAGAGCAGAGCTAGGTATCAATTCATGGAATTCAATTAAATGCAGAGATTTTCTCGGCATGCAAGCACAGCAAGGGGTTACAATACTTGGTTTGTGTGTTTGTCCATCTGTCTGTCTGTATCTCTATTCTGGCACCACATGCTACCAAAGAGAGATACCAACCAAATCAATGGTACATGCACATTTATAATAATAACACGTGTAAGGCTAAGTTCACAATATGTCGCACTGCCCCGTCCCCGCCTTGCCGTGTCGCGAGGATCGAATCCATTTCTATCTTCGCGACACCACGCAACACAGCAGGGTGTGACAGGGCAATGCGACATTATGGTGAACCCAGCCTTATCCATTTTCCTGAACTTTCAAAAGTTTTAGCATGAAAAACCAGTGAAAATAATTATGCTAAATAGTAACCTTCCAGCACATGAGTGCAGATTAAGGTTATTACGGTGGTGCAGCTTTTGCCATAGTGGGAACTACTGACATGTAGATTATAGCATTGGATGACAAAAGAAGTTGAATGCAGTGATGTTAACACATACCCAGTGTACAGCATCCGCGTCAGCTCCACTGTTGAGAAGAGACGCTATTGTTATCACATCTCCTGACCCACAGGCTTCCAACCGTTCACCATTCTGCGGAGAAATTATGTAGGAAACATAAGTTGCCACAACCCATCATGGCATCAGAGAACATTGTGAAGGCTCTTCGGGGAGGGAGGAGAAAAGAAACTAGTATCTATCTACAGCTTGTCCATGATCAACCCAAGCAAGGGTTATGGGTATACACTTGGTTTGTACTATTGTGTGTGCGCCCGTCTATCTGTTACCACACTTTCTGCCACCACATGCAACAAGCTGGCCAAAGAGTGACACCAACGGGTCCACACTACACTGGCTTGATTTTACATTTGGGGGTTTTCATAAAAGCACTGCGTTCAACAGTTACAGTACCAGAACAAAGGTAGCAAGCCAATATGCAAATTAATACTGGCTTACATCGACCGCATTCTGCCAGTTTTGTATATACTGTGGAGGCATCAGAAGTTACAACGGAGGGGGATGTCAAATATCACAATGCCTAAAACACTAGTTTGGGGCACATGCAAAAAGTGTGTTCCAGTGTCTTTTGAACCTCCCCTTCAGAGCAAATAAAGCTTGTACAGTAGACAGATGTGCCCTTAGTAAGTAAGTCAACCATTTGGCTGTTAATGTTTGTACTTTGAAACTTTACTATACGGGCTTAGCACCAGATTGCAGGAGGCATATACAGTACACCATGTAACATGCACAGTTTACAGGCCAAAAGACCCACTGAAATCTGTAGTGTAAATTATTGCATTGCTAGAGTTAGTCAGCAGGATGAGGCATATATACATGAAGGCAATGGCAGAGCGTAAACAGCCAATATGCTAGTGCCACCTCGACCTGTTTTTACACATGCACAGTGGCCCCTTTCCCCATCTGTAAAACATTAGTAAGTATAGCTAGCCATCACAGCTGAGAAGGAGTGGGAGTGCACATGCCCTTTGTAACCATACTTGTATCTATGGGTATGTGTGCAATGCGTATGTACTCGTGCGTCTCCACCGAGGGTTTGCACTTCAATGGTTTTCTGTAACCATCCAGGAAAGTTTGGGGTACAAGTTTGTTCCAGGGTCTTTTGAACCGCCCCAAACAATGCTTATACAGTAGAGAGATGTGCCCTTAGTACGTAAGTCAACCATTTAGCTATTAACGTTTGTACTTTGAAACTTTACTTTATACTCCTTACAGGCTTACACCACTGATGTAAGGGTTCAAAATTTTATGCAAGGGATTGCTTATGTTGCCCAAGCAGGCGCTGTATATACCTATCATGGACGGTAAATCTCTCTATATTGGTAATACACGCGTACCAACATTTCCCGAGGCTTGTTGACGGTAAAAAGCATCTCTTGACCGAGGACCACGTCTGACAGGAGATGTGTGGCTAGGAAGTCGGGTGTCAAGGCTCCCAGAATCCACCCCACACAGCTGGACGGGAGTCCCAGCTCCACCACAACCGAGCCCTCCAACACCGCCCCAATGTACACACTGTACGACTGTAGAGACGCTCTTTCTGCGATCGCTTCGGTCGTCTTGCGAATTTCGTGGAGAGTGCACTGCGACACTGGCTTGTTGATCTTTACCGTCATTTTGGTGAATTCTGAGGCGAGAACATCACTAGCTTCAATGGCCTCGAGGTACACATCGACCATTGTCGCTTTCTCAAACTTCTCGAGTGAGTCGCAGTATTCCTGCATCCTTCGCTGGAGCGAACCCTGACAGAACTTCCTGACCACCTCTCGGAGAACTGCGTAGTTGCGGTAGCTGCTGTAGCACCGGATGATGGCAAATATTTTGGGAGTATTCTCTGCCTTTAGAAATTCATCCAGCCTTTCATGAAAAAACTTGACATGAGGGACTTTTTGGGCGACAGGAAGATCTAAAAGACGATCACGGAACTTGTCAAGAAACCGTGGATCTATACTTTCTCTCGTGCACATTTCATCTCTCGTGTCGGACATGAGGTCTGAGAAGGTGTCACTGAGTCGGTCGATCTCGGCTCTCGCCTGTGACACCCTGCCAGTGGGGGAGGAGGGACGTGCCAGGGGACTGAGAGTGGGCTCACTGGGAGATGATCTACTGGTTTGAGGACCACCTGCCTCTGGGGCTGTTGTCACTGGAGAGGAGGGGAGGTTGAGGCCGGAGGCCATAATGACGGTGTTGGCCAGTGCTGTCATACCAATCTGTTTGAGGCCAGCTACAATTTTCTCCCAACTGGCCCCCGCCTCCTGGTCAAACCAGGCCTGGACGTAGTGGATCTTGCGCATGTTTCCCGTGTGGTTTGTGTCAATGTCATCAAGAGTTTTCAGTTGGACATTGAGATGAACAAATAGCTCCTTTGTCTTTTCTATTGTCAGATTATCAAGAGCTGGCACTACTTCGGACAGTGATAGTTGAGTGGAGGCCATGGTGGTGGGGGCCTTACCTAGGTGTAGATGTATGGATTTTGAAAGATCATATACGTATAGAGCACAACTTTAGTCAAACTCACTGTTTCTAGTCTCGCGGAGCAACCCGCTCTTGTCCAAGCAAGCACAGTGTTGGTGTTTGTTGAAGCGTAGCCACACCCTCGAGTGCGATGTTTGTGTACTGTATAATTATACTGTGGAGCATGGCTGTTTCAATTGCGTACCAACTTAGTGACGTCACGGAACCATTACGTAATCATAAAATTTCCGTAGCAACGGGGCGTTGGCAACGGCCCTATGGCTTTTTCGCGGGGCTTTGCGCACCGAGGATTAGTGGGCGGAGTTTTTACGCAAAACCACGTTGACCCTTGGAGAAGACGCTACGAGTAGATACGTTTTTCGTGGCCCATGGTCGCTTCTCGACAGCGGCGCAGGCAGCAGAATGAACAGCTATCAAGCCTGAAAAGTTGTCTTCTACCGGATCGCCAGCAATTTTGAGAGAAAGTCTGATTGAAAAGGCAGAAGGGAAAAGCGTTAGACGACCGGTTTGTATACTGTATGCGACGGCAAGCATCTTTGCGAAGGCGGTATTCTTGGTCATAATCTGGCCATATATTGATGTGTACGTGTATAATGACGGCCTATACAAGAAACAGTGGGATGCTACCGCTTTATCCCCCTGTCCTTCCACCTTGCCTTCCACCGTCCCGTGGTGCTCTAGGAACAGTCAGAGCTGTCTCTCCAAGAAGAACAATGTCATGAGCATTCTTCAAGTAGGTTGTGTACAGAGAACTGACTCATCTCTATCTTCCACAACCTGTATTCTCCAGATTCCTTTTTGCAGCTGACTTTCAAACTACTCTTAGGCTTCAGCTCCAGCTTTGTGTAGTATGTTTGTTTATAATGTGTGTGCTCCATGTCTCTGTCTAGTACCGGACAGTGTATGGTGGTACTTTATTGCTTCGTCGACACACATCGATATTGCACAGTATGTGGTACTTCATTCTTTCGTCGACAAACATCCACGCTGATGTTCAAGGAGTGTAGGTTTGCTGCTGAACTTCATGTTCAGCGTCTTCTGAACTAATAGTCACAGAATTTATATTGCAAGTTGTTCTGTTATACCCAATGTTTCACTTTACACTTTGTATCATGGCCGACATGGGCTCACGTCATGGTTTCTGTAGCTATCCATGTCAATGACTATTTTGAAATCACTACAGATGTTTTACAGTGTTCCTTTCTATCTCCTCTTGAGCCAGAAGCGTAACAAAGCGCTGGGCAGGGGGTACCAGGCTCTTTCTAACGGTATTCATGCCATAGTATGGGGGTTACAAACGCTCCAGTAGCCCCCGATGTCGCGTGCTTGCCGAGTTCTGACAGGCTTATTCAACTTCCTACAAGACCGAAGCACTTCTCCAGGCGTGTTTCTGACTTATAAAAAATGCCTCGCCGGTGGTGCAGGGCTACGAACATGAACCTGTTTTTTTTGTATACGCTTGTACTTCCGATGCGCAGTACAAAATGAAGCCGGCTCTCGCCAGTGCGAAGTTGTTGCAGGTATCCACAAGGGTTATACTCTGTATATGGGCGAAGGAAGCGCTTTGGCTGTCGCTTCTTTCTCAGTAGAGGCGGCAGCAACCAAGCGTTGACTCGTGCAGGTTTCATGTAGGGGGCGGTTACGCACTAGGCGCGGTGATTTCCATATGCGCGCTTAAACTAAGTGAGCGCGTGAAACAGCCGTGGGGGGAGACGGGGGCAGGGCGTGGCACGCATTTTCGTGCGCATGCGCACTCTAACCCGGGTGAACATTGTCCGCCCGGATGTCCAATTTGTCCGGTTCAACAACCAGCCATCCGGTTGCCTAACCGTCTGTTACAACGCCAACCGTCCCGCGTGGCTGCTGTAATAGCTGCGTGCAATGTTGCTGGGTGGGGAAGATATTATGTGCTGCGGTGGAACTATGCGATCCCTGCCGATGAACGCGGCAAGCTGGAACTCGCGTAGTCTTCGCGGTGGTTGCGCAGGAGCAGCGTCTGAAGTAAGCGCTTCTGTGCTAGAGGCGTCTTCCTTTCCAACGGGGTGTCGCTTGCTAGGCGCTGCACGTGCGTTTCGACTCCAGAGGAAATGTGTTGTGTATAATGACTGGAAGAGCCTCGTGCCGTCGTCTCCTGCTAACCATTTGAGTCGTTGATATCACGCAGAGCAGTTGTTTCCGCGCGCGCAGCGCTGTCCGGTTACGCAACAGGACATCCTGTTACGTATCAGGCTGGCCGGTTGAGCATCCGTAAAACGGTTGGGCATCCGGGCAGCGGAACACAAGCTGTCCAGTTGTTGTGCGGTAGCCGTCCACATCAACACTGAATTTTCAAGTTATATACCTTCAACATGTTCAATAAAAGCTATTACAATTGTAAGGTGTGTGTATAATATATGTCTTTGGTGTAGCTTATGGACATAGTGAGTTTCAAGTATCCAGGCAACCCCTCCAGTCTAGTGGAGATGTCAGCCACCAGTCGAGAGAAAGTTGGTCGTTCATCTGGCTCCACATCCCAACACTCCTTCATCACTCCATAGAGTATCAATTAAAATGTATGAGCAATTCTCACATCTCCTGAGAACAGGCCTCATTGAGAGGTTTGTCCAGTCTCTCTCCACTCTCAAGATATCTGATGAGAGAAAAAGGGTCCACTCCAGGGTATGGGTTCTTCCCCAAAGAGAACACCTCCCAGGAAGTCACTCCAAAGGACAACTGTTGGTGCATGGATAAAATGTCATCTTGACAAACGACAACACTTACAACATCAGTTTTCTCTGAGAACACTCCATCGTGCAGGCTCTCAAGAGCCATCCATTTCACTTGTAGTTTCACAAGAGCCTCTCCTTCCTTGTGTGATGCCGTCTCTTGCCTTAAGTAATTTCTAGCATAAATCTCCCCTGCAAGACCAAAGTCTGCAACTTTAATTAAATTCTGTGCATCAATGATACAGGAATTAGAAAGTCGGCAGACTCTTATATAGGGATGACGCGGGATGAAATCTCACGTGATCCGCATACAAAACGACTAAAAACTCGGTGAGAATCACTACCTAGGCCTTCAAAACATACTAGCAATAGTCTACGGGGCTATATCTACCTATACATGTCCCCCAAGACCTCATACGCACCTTTAGTCGTCCACGCGAGAATTCGCTCGTACGCGATTTCATATTCAGATTAATTAAACCCGCTAGCTGTCTCCTTACCAGCATAATAGAAGAGCAACTTGGCAGTGTCTGCGCGGTGTTAAGCGAGCCCTACGGGGCGCTCAGTCTTCAATGTTTGTCCCCCCAGGTTGTAGCCTGATTACCAACATGTGCAATAATCTAACATCCTTGTTGAAGACAATACATGTGGTGAATGAAATGATTTTTCCACTTGTATGTTACATTGTTGATCTCTCATACTCCCTTACATGCAGTTTCTGGCTGCAAGATCACGATGAACCAACTTCCTCTGCAGCAAGTACTCCATTCCTCGTGCAATTTGTAAATATACAGATGGAAAAAAGCTTACTGCTTTTTGCAAAACACGAGGGACCCTGTTTAGGATTGAACTCAAGACCTCTTGAGTAATGAGGTATAGTTGGCCGGCCCACTATATACATAGATGTCTGGAGCAAGGGAGTGGAGGATGTTGTTCACACTTCTCCTCAGTCTGCCTGCTGTATTACTCAGCCTATCCCGCATAAGTGAGGCAGAACAGATTAGACTGGGACTAAAGTCTTCAATCTGTTCTTGGCTATCAGACATCGTGAGAGAGGTATTGCTATATTATAGTAGCTAACAGGTGCAAAATCCACTATGCTAAAGTTAACCGCTACACTCCTTTGGCCAGTGCCTTCGTTCCTATGTTCGTGGCCAGACACAATCTTCTCCCAACTGGCTTCCACCTCCTGGGGAAACCAGGCCTGGACATCCAGTGCAGTTTCCTGTATGGTTGTGTCAATAGTTTTGAGTTGGACTCCTGAGATGAAAAAAATAAGCTCTTTTGCCTAGTTCATCAAGAGCAGCAACTAGTGTGTTGGCCTTGGCTAGTGTGAAATGAAAAGGCTGACTTATGTATAGCAAAAGAAGGTGGGGTTTGTTACGATTTTGTGCATGTGCGCATATGTAACACTCCAATCTCTACTGCAGATTATACTTCTCTAGTTGTATATATTCCCACACTTCCAGGTACATAGCTACTCTTGAGCTGCAATGAGTCGGGTGACTTGAGCTGCAGTTTTTCTCTGCTGTTATCTGCAGATCAAGGCGTTTGCAAAGGACCTCGGAGCTATATATATAGATGCGGGAGACAGGACGTGATTGACCGTTAGTGCGGCTGAGCAACTGCGGACTCTGGATTACGTCTGGCCCAGCCTACCTGAGTATCAGACAGTCATCGACCTCTGCATGCATTCTCCATGTGCACCTTTGAAAGAAATGTCTAGACTAAAGCTCTTCTGCCTCCACATGCAAAGCTTGTCACTGTTCCAATGGGAAAGTGGATCCCCTGATTTAGTGGCCAGGAGATGAACCTCCAGCAATTAGTCTCCGAGTTTGGTCGGTCAATTTTCCATGGCTGTCTAGTGTCTCATTTCTCTGTTTGGCGCATTCTACTGTCTAGTGTTTCCTCTGGCTAAAGCTGCAACCAGGTCTTATTATGCAGTGTTTATCGTGAGTGGAATTCGAAGCACTAGCTTTTGCTGTATTAAACGCTATCTCCTATATGTACATATTATAGGAATGTGTGGCAACTATAAAAATGTTCCAAGTAAGAAACAGTGGATTCTGATTATTGTTGGTATCAGGTTGGCGTGTTCTACTGTCTAGTGTTCCGAGGGCTAGCAAATCAATTTATATGCGCACATGTGAGCTTGTGCAGAGCGGTAGCATGATGAGACAGACTAAGTTAGAATGACAGACGATAGGAACAGTATAAAAAGATAGTATTGAAAAATAACCTTAGTATCCAAAAAAACAGCAGTCTTGCAAAATGTAGAACACTAGCTAGCATGGTTTAGGCATTGTGGGTGCCCTGGCCTCAAGAACCAAGGATGGTGGGTTAACCCTTTTGGACGCCATGGGTATCTCCTTAAATACGCAAAAACTGGTGTATAACATATTAACACCTAGTATTATAGCCGCATATTCTTATGGACTTAC